AATTTTGGTAGTTCCCCGGCAACTTCCTTGTTGGAAAAACTATCTCCTGGTTTGGAGTCTTGGTGTGGCTTTGTAGGTTAATGTGCATTGTTGTTGTTGTTGTTGTTAAGTGCCGTCGAGTCGGTTCCGACCCATAGCGACCCTGTACATAGCGCTGCAAAATTAGTTTGAACCATAAGGTTGTGGTTGAGCTCATCAGCCACTCCTTGGAAACCCTATACAGATTACTATGGATCAGAAATGACTGGACAGCACTTTGTAAAAGGAGTCCTGGTGTGGCCCTGAAGATTAATGCAGTAGACTGCAAAATTGGTTTGAATTGATTCAGACGTCATAAGAAGCAGCCTGCGGGGTTTCCACTCTGTGCTGTGGGAAAACTGTGGGTGCAATGCTGGACCCTTTTGGGGGTGTGCTCCCACCCACCTGAAGGCATCGGGGCTGGGCAGTGAGGGCTCAATCTAGTGAAGAAGAAAGATATGTGAAAAATGAAATGTGAAAGATGAAAAATCCGTCTCACCTCTCCCTCCACATGCACAGCTCCACGGCTTCTAGCATTGGGTCACTGCCTCTGCTTGGCTGTCGCCCAGCCCTCCGACCTCAGTGCCTCTGGCCACCGCGGCTGCCAGATCAATTCCGGAACTGTCGTATTTTGCCTTCACAGGTAGATTTCTCCACAGGTGGGCGTGGGAAACTGGTGCCCGGAACCTTAAACCAGATCCAAAACTCTGCAACTGTTCTGCAGACCGCTCTTTCTCTGCTTTCCCTGGGCTTTAGCAGAGGAGCTTTTGCTATCTGTCTCTGCTTACCTGCCCCCAAACCGGAAGTCTCAATGCAGTCATAATCTGACCTATGTATTTGTTGAGTTGGAATTGACTGGCAAAACATGGGTAATACAATCCTAGAGCTGACATCATGTTGTTGTTGTTATGTACTGTGGAGTCGGTTCCGACTCATAGCAACCCTGTACAGGGTTTCCAAGGCTGTATATCTTTACGGGAGCAGAAAGCCTCATCTTTCTCCCATGGAACAGCTGGTAGTTTCGAACTGATGACCCTGAGGTTAGCAGTCCGATTCATAACCACTGCACTACCAGAGAGCTGCCATCATACTTTAACACTAAAGGATGAAATACATTATTCCTATGATGAAAAACAAGGTGAAGGTATTTGCTCTCACTGTATCAATTTGATACTATAATGGAGGTCCCTTTCTGTGTATTAAGACAAGAAAAATAAATTTAAAGGCATACATTTGAAAGGAAGGAATAAAACCATCTCTATTTGCCAGAGATATGATTGTTCATATAAGAAAAGGATCTGAAAAGTTTACTAGATTAATCATGTAAAATAGCACTGTCACAGTATGCAAAGTCAACATTCATAATTCACTATTAAATATAAAAGAATTAAACAATTGGAAATTTAAATAAAATGCCAATTTACAATAAACCAGAATACATGATCTATCTCTATCTCTATCTCTATCTCTATCTCTATCTCTATCTCTATCTATCTGTATCTGTATCTATATCTATCTGTATCTGTATCTATATACAAGTTTAACATGGTATAAATTGCAAAACACTGATTAAAGAAATCAATGATAAATAACTGGAGACATATCTATAGGTTGGAATACAAATTACTGTTGAGATGTGAAACTTAACTATTGATTGAATAAATCCCAACAGTTAAAAGAAATAAACTGATTTAAAAATGTATCTGAAGGGCATAGAAACTAGAATATCCCAAACAACAACAACAAAATAGTTAGAAGACTATATTTCTTATTTATTGTTATTATATTAGCATAGAATAAGGTTTGTTGTTGTTGTGAAATGCTGTCAAGTCAGTTCCAACTCATGGAGACCCTGTATAGGGTTTCTGAAGAGCTGCTGTTGAGTTTGAACTAAATACCTTACAGTTCAAACTGACCTTTTGATCCAGTGCTAATCCTACAGTGCCACACCAGGACTCCAAAGCAAGGTTTATTTGTGCTGCATTAACCACTCAAAGGCTTTCTAATATGTGGATGATGACAAGCTATGGATAACATTGCAAAGAATGGGTATTCCAGAACACTTTGTTCTCATGAACAACCTCTACATAGACCAAGGTGCAGTCTTTCAAATACAACTAGTTACTGGATGATTTAAAATCAGGAAACTTGTAAGCCAGGACTGTATTCTTTCACCATATTTATTTAATCTGTATTCTGGGCAGATAATCTGAGAAACTTGACTATCTGAAGCAGAACATGCCATCAGGATTGGAGGAAGATTCATTAACAACCTGTGATATGCAGATGATACAACCTTGCTTGCTGGAAGCATAAAGGCTTAAAATACTTACTGATGAAGATTAAAGAGTGCAGCCTTCAGTATGGATTGCATATCAATATATAGACAACAAAAATCATCACAACTGGACCAATGAATAATATCATGATTAAAACATAAAAGATGGAAATTGTCAAAGACTTTACTTTGCTTGGATCAACAATGAACACTCATGGAAGCAGCAGTCAAGATATTAAATGATGTATTTCATTAGGCAAACCTGTTACACAAAACCTCTTTAAAGTGTTCAAAAGCAAAGATATCAGTTTGAAAAATAAGTATGCCTGATACAAGTCATGGTATTTTCAATAGTCTCATATGCATGAGCAAGTTGGACAATGAATGAGGAACACCGCACAAATATTGATGCCTTTAAATTATGGTATTGGAGAAACATATTGAAAACACCATGGATTGCCAGAAAAACATACAAATATGTGTTGGAAAGAAGTATAGCCAGAATGCTCCTTAGAAGGCAAGATGTCAAACTTTGTATCTCATACTTCATACATATTATCAGGAGGGGCCAGTCCCTGAGATGGACATATTACTTGGTAAACTGGAGGGTTAGTAAAAAAGAGGAAGACCCCACCACCACCACCACCAAGGAGATGGATAAGCACAGTGGCAGCAGCAATGGGCTCAAGTGTAAAAACACTTATGAAGATGGCACAGGATCAGGCAGTGTTTTGTTCTTTTTTCATAATGTTGTTATGAGTCAGAATCATCTCAAGGGCACTTGCAACAAGGTAAAATGGATGATAACTATTCAAAATAGAGTCATTGAAATAAAAATATAATCCAAGACTTCTAAAGAGACTGAACAAATTGATGTTTTATTGACAGAAGATTCATTTTCATATATTAATTCTTGTCATACCTAATAACATGATCCTTATGAAGCTCACAGAGCTTAGTACATAGTGTATGTTATTATCTACATCCAAGTCTGAAGCTCTTTATTCTGTATATACATTTATGCATAGACATAATTTATACATTTCTAGTATATCATAATAAAGATGATTATTATTATTTCAGGTGGAATGAATTTTTATGGTATTAGCTTCTTTTCTCTTGTGAATGATTGTCATATATATTTTAAATTGACCCACATCTGTATGTTTCAATATTTTGTTCATTAAAACAACCACTTTTGAAATTCTAGTTTTCATTATAGGAATAACTTAAAATTGTATATCACATTTCAAATCTGGTAATACTGTTAACAAGATGAACGTACCCATTCTCCCAATTGTAAGTTAGCAATTACAATGTTATTTCAGTTTTTCTTCAGCTCATTGCTTTAAGAAACAAATGCGGCTGGTGCTAACCTTAGTAGAAAATAGAAGCTAAAAAATATAGAGAGAAAAAAGTTGTTTATTCAGTTTAATTTAATGCTAATGTAAATATATTTCTAACAGAAATCTTGTTGTCAAGCTTGACATTATAGAACAAAGGACATTGAATCGTAGGAATAATAATCACAGAATGAGATAATATATCTATGTTATCTTACAGAGTCTGGTATATTCAGTGAGATTTTGATAAAAGGATCTGCTTCCAAAACATGGAATTTTTTCCTGGCAGGTTTTAAAAACATCTTAAATAAAAAGGAACAAAATTCATTAAAAAAAAAAAAAAAAAAAAGATAGAGTTTGGATTTTAAGTATTGCAAAATTACTTTTTGAGTCATTCTACACATAAACAAGTAAATAAAATGTTAAGATCTGAAGTTGAAATCCAATGAAAATTCTGTTCTAATCCTAAAGGTAATGGACAGCCCTCCTTTGGAGATACATTACCAACCCAAAAAGCAAGAAACTTTGGACAAATAGAAAATTTCTTGAAAAGCTGAACTGAAAGAATGTTGTCCTTTTTATTTCCATGGGGGAATCTGTCACTCTTTAGAATATTTAAAACATCATTTAGAGTCTTAAGTAAAGGTACAATCTTGTTGTTATTGTTAAGTGCAATCAAGTTGGTTCTGACCCACAGCAATCCTGTGTAGGGTTTAGGAGCAGCTGGTGATTTTGACTCCAGCAAGGAACATTGTTGTTGTTGTTAAGTGCCATTGAGTCAGTTCCGACCCATAGCGACTCTGTCTAGAGTATTTGAGGAGTGGCTGGTGAGTTTCAGCTGTAGATCTTGCAGTACAAACTGGCTTTTCAGGCCAGCTCATTAACCCACAGCACCACAAAAGGAACATTACAGCTATACAATTATACCCGTTTTCTTAGAAATTCAAGAAAATATTTTTTTTTTCTTAAAACTTGCCTTACTTCAGACTGTCCTTAATGCAAATGTTATCTATATGAGCCTTCATATATATAATTTCAAAAAGTACATGAAATATTTCATTATTTTTGATCCCATTTTCCATTTACTTTTTGAAGCTTCAAATATTTATCTTCTTAGTATAACAGACAAGTCTAAACATAACACTGTATTTGTACTGGCTCAAAGTTTAATGTGATGGTATATCATTTTTATAATACAGTTCTGTGAATAAAATAGCTTTACATTTTAGGTCTGCTTCTTCACATGACAAATAAGTATAAGGAATGAAAAGATCTGTACAAACTCTAGGAGCTTTAGCATTCATTCATAGAATTCTTGTGAACATAAGTAACTGACAACTGACTGGTAGAACGTTGTAGGATCAACAGGGAAAATGCTTAATTTCTACTGCTCTTTTCATAGCATCCTTCACGTCTTTGTTTCTCACACTGTAAATCAATGGGTTTAACATGGGAATCACTAGTGTATAGAACACAGAAACTACCTTCTCCTGTTCTACAGAATACTGGGAACTTGGCTGAATGTAACTAAAGCTCAAGGTGCCATAGAATATGGTCACAGCCATCAGGTGAGAAGCACAGGTGGAGAAGGCTTTCTGTCGGCCAGCTGCTGAGCGGATCCTCAGGATAGCAACAATGATGAACATGTAGGAAATGATCACAACCGAGAAGGTAGCCATGGCAATGACTCCAGAGAAGGTCAACAGCAACAACTCATTCAGGGAGGTATCAGAACATGACAGCTTCAGCAGTGAGGGGATATCGCAGAAAAAGTGGCTGACAACATTTGGACCACAGAAGTACAGTTTGCCCAAACTTACTGTGTGTATTAATGAGTTAATTGTTCCACATATCCATGACCCTGTGACTAACACTACACACTTCCTCTTAGACATGGCTACAGTGTAAAGCAAAGGATTCACAATGGCCACATAACGGTCATATGCCATCACTGACAGCAGGAAACCTTCCGTGGTAACGAACACCCCAAAACACAAATGCTGCACCATGCAGGCAGAGAAAGAAATAGTTCCCCTCACCACCAGTAGGTTTATCAGCATTTTGGGTGCAATTGCAGATGAATAGCAGGCATCCACAAATGAGAGGCAGCTGAGGAAAAAGTACATGGGTGTGTGGAGTTTGGGAGTGATGCGGATCAACAAGATCATGCCCAGATTCCCCACAAAGGTAACTACATATATCACTAGGAACAACACAAAAAGCACAATTTTCATATCAGCCCGATCTGTCAATCCCAACAGAATAAATTCAGTAACAACTGTGAAATTATCTTCAGCCATGTGTTTGTGTCTTTTTTTCCCAAAGAATCTGTCATGAAAAAAAAAATGCAGAGATTTTAGGAGATTTTATCCATCTTTGTTGGGGATACCTTGAGTTTGCATTTTGTGGAATAAATTTATATAATTTAAGGTCTCTTCCTTGTATCATTTCTGCTACCCACTTGTTTCCCATGTCAATTTGATATGACCACAGGACCTCCTAATTGCATGGTCTCTCTCCTCAACATCTTCATAAATGAACCCTTTTTTTGAAAAGAGAGAATAATTTTTTATATTTCCTTAGTATATATCAATGTATATAATATGACAAATAATATATAGTTTAAAAGGCAGAAAGACATTATGATAGAGGATGTGGTTGAAATGTAGTTAATAAAAAAGTCATTGATAAAAAAATGGAATGTAATTTAAAAAAAAAAAAAAAAAACGTGGTCACTGCTCTTGTTTCTGAGAAATTGTCCCCCACACTGTAACAGTAAGGAGCCCTGCAAGGTTAGTAACTTTGGGAGTGAGGATACACAAACCATTATCTTGCATGCCAGGACCAGAAGGAATCTCTGTTTTTCCTGAAAGCTTACATAAACTTATAAATTTAAATAAACAGACTAACTGAAAATACGAATGTATATATTTACCAATTATTCTTTGATCAGTCTTTGCATTCTTCATCTTATAATCAATATACAAGTCAATTTAAAATTTTTAAATGAAAAACATGACCATTATATATTTGGCCAGAACTGTCCACATTTACTTAAGAATCAACACACTCTCTACTTCATTTTTATGAAGTAGTAAAGGGGGGAGTAGTTCATTTTAAAGTCAGGAACAGAGGACCTTAGGACCATCCTGGGAGAATAGCATGAGCGGAATGTAGACCCCTATGCAGAGAAGCAGCGACACCAGAGATGGAGGCAGAGATGACAACATAGAGAGACAGAGCAGCTGAAGACTCTAGACTCATGGAAAGAGAGAGGTTGTGTGCTGGTGGCCAGGAGGCAGGCTTGCAGAATGTGCCCTTAGGTTGTTTAAATGAGTGTTCCTGAGTGTTTTTGTGTACACCTACCCCACAAAAGAACAAAACAAAACAAAACAGAGGGAATAGAAGCAAACACTGTTAAATGATGATGCGTGGAGGGAATTGTAATCATTGCAATGAAACTGATGTTCTCCTGTATAAACGTCACTCAATTCAAAATAAAAACTTTAAAAAAAGAAAAAGAAAACCCTATGGTGTTCCTCTATACACACAGGGTTTCCATGAGCCAGAATCAACTGGATTGCAACTTTTTTATGTCATTATTTTAACTAAAACCATTTAACTGACACAAAAGGAAGAAGATAGAAATCTATTAGATAGGGGATAAATCCTATTTCAATAATAACTAGCTTAATTTTGTTTTGCAAGTTATTTTAACTGTATTATCCTGGGTAAAATTATATCCTTCCCTAAGGCTGCTGAGAAAATGGAAGGAGACCATTTCAGTACATTTTTTACTGTTTTATTCAGCTCCAATTAGATGCTTTAATTGGATAGTATTCCATTATAGTAATTAGCTACTTATAACAGTTCTACACACTTATTGTGTGATCTCTATTATTTCATACTGATTAATCTAAAAGTCTGAAAATATTGTATTATGCTGTTTTCTATTCTGAAATATTTTCACAAATGTTTTAGGACTATTTTTTTTTTTAATTTCTAATAATTAAATGAACATTACAAATGCTTGTTTACATACTAGCTTGTTAAGTAAAGATATATAAAATGTATCTCTATATTTTTCATGATTCCTCACATACTGTTTAAAAACTATCAACAAACTGGACAATAGAGGAAAAGGAAGATAACAAAATAACTATAAGCCTGAATACTTAAGAATTGCACTATTATAGATAGAATTCCCATCTGTTCTTTCTTCTGCCACTTTTTGTATAGTACTGATTATTTTTCTCAGCAAAATATCTATTTCTATAAATTGGAATATAATTTCAAACTATAATTTAGGGAATACAATTATTTAAAAACACTAGAGAGAAACTTATATGAACTATTCAATTGTAAAACTGCACACATCTTTTTCAGCAAAATTTGTGACAGTGTTGCAAAAGGTGCTAAATAATAAGATAAGGAAGAGTTAGGTACCATACACTCCAAATTCAAAACCTAGACAGAATTCTATAATATTTGAAATTTTTTAATTCTCTGAAGAATAAATGAAAATCATAAGAATAGTCAAAGAATTAGGTAGAGTATCAAATAAATGAATGTAACTTACCAGAGAAAGTTTAGGATAACAGCTTATTAAGAACACTCACATGCGTTGCAGTGGTTCTTAAATGTATTTAAAAATGGGAGTAATTAATAGTTTCTTGTGATTAAGAATGATCAATATTTTAATAGTAGAAAGCTGAGGATCGTTGTAGATAAGCAAACTTTAGGTTTAATTACATGATGTACAAACTAATGAAAACAATGGTTTCACATTTGTAATTCTTTCCTCAAAGAGGATGCATTTGAAAGAAGGGACTGATAGAAATATACATGCACTGATTCTTGTCTTTCTAATGAGGCCAGAGTCCCTGTTACTCATTTTAGATGCTGATGAAACTAATACAACCCCCAAACCAAAACCAACAAAATTATACTTTGGACTATGATCTAATGTCTCAAGAGACTTCTTAGGAATCCCCATGGAACTGGTTTTCTCCAGTGTGTGTAATGTCACAAAAAATGTTTCAAAGAGCAGAGGGAATCTTGAAACAAAGAATGAGAAGATATTAGAAGTACTGGTTTAAATAATTCATCAGAATGGAATCGTATTCCATTAAGATACGTTATAAACTTGGCCTACTTTTGGTGAAGTGGTAGTGGTAATGTGCCGTGGAGTTGATTCCGACTCATAGCGACCCTGTACAAGGTTTCCGAGGGTGTAAATCTTTACGGAAGTAGAAAGACTCATCTTTCTCCCGTGGAGCTGCTGGTAGTTTCGAACTGCTGACCGTGAGGTTAGCAGCCCGATTCGTAACCACTTTTGGTAAAGTGTTGTTATTGTTGTTGTTAAGTGCCGTCGAGTCGGTTCCGACCCATAGCGACCTTGTACAAGGTTTCCGAGGGTGTAAATCTTTACGGAAGTAGAAAGACTCATCTTTCTCCGTGGAGCTGCTGGTAGTTTCGAACTGCTGACCTTCAGGTTCGCAGCCCAATTCGTAACCACTACGCTACCAGAGCTCTTTGAACCAGGTTTGATCATAGTCGTATTTTTCTAATAACTTCTTATCAAACATCTCACCAATCATACTCAAACATGTCTGCTGCTAGTCGAAAAGTGCATCCTCTAGTAAGCAGAATAACTGTTTCATTGCAATTAGATTTTATACTTAGTGTCAATATTATCATTCATTTAAAAAATATTATTTGAGGGACAAACACAAGGTAGAGATTAAGTTAGTTACAAGAAGCACACAGGGCTGGATTTCGACTTATATCAAGGTAGAAAACTAGTTATTATTAAATCTCCTAAAAATAAATAAATGATGTTGTTGTTGTTGTTGTCAGGTGCCATCAAGTCGGAACCGACTCATAGCGACCCCATGCACAGCAGAACGAAACAATGTCCGATCCTAGGCCACCCTCACTACCGCTGCCACACTTGAGTCCATCAATGATGCCACCTGGCCAATCCATCTCATTGGGGGTGTTCCTCTTTTTCTCTGACCCTCCATCTTACCCAGCATGATATCCTTCTCCAGCGACTGTTCCCTTCTGACAACATGTCCAAATAAATATAAAATAAATGATAGTTTGATTTATTGATGCATTTGGATGAGAGTATTGACAAAGAATATTAAATATACCATAAACTGACAGAACACACGAATCTGTCTTGCAAGAAGAATAACTGGATGACAAGACTTCATCTCATGTACTTTGGTCATGTTATCAGGAGGGACTGGTCCCTAGAAAAGGACATCATGCTTGGTAATGCAGTGGGTCAGTGAAAAAA